GTCATTGGTGATTCCATTCTTGTATGTACGTTGTGGTTAAAATGTTGTAAATTCTCCCTCTCTGCAAGAAAGATTGCCATAATAATTTACTATTTTCACAAGGAAAAGAAAAGGCACAGTGCATCCATACATATGCAGCCAACCGCATGCATCGAAGAGCAGCGGCCGCAGAAGCGTGGGTACAGAGGGACAATATTCCCACGGTTATTCGATGTCCTCATCATCTCCCCATGTTATATAAACCCATCCCTCCCCTGTTAATGTCCCCACAGCTTCCGCGGCCACTGTCGAAGGGGAAAAGATGTCCAAGAAACAGGAAGAAAAGAATGTATCACGTCCAGCTCGTATTTCGAATCATCCGACATGAAGTGGACCACTTGGTTCGAAAATGTCAATGAATTTAGATCTCTCTCAGGTTTTTGGGGAGTATTTTTTATTATATTATTTCACACTCAAATGCTCCCTTCCGACCCTTCTCACATCCAAACTTCTTCACGTGAGAGAGCCACTGCTGCTGCTACATCGTACATAAATAAGCACATACGATGAGCACTTTACTGTCCACGGATGGATATGGATGTCATGCAGGGCAATGTGATGTGATGCAATTTGAACCCAAATGCATACGAGTGTGGGACCCACAAGGGCTGTTCCGTATTAAAAATTCCGACTGCATCAGCACTGAATTGCACGAGGAGGGGAGAGGGCATGTCATACTCAGCGTCAGCAGAGGAGGGTCGCTCTCTAAACTAAACTTTTCAACGAAAGAATTTTCAAGGACCCATTAAATACGAGGAAATACAGAAATGTTTTCCTGATACCGACTTCCTAATAAAAATCAGACCGTTTTCTATGGGAAAGTGAAGATTTACTCCGTATGAAAGTGTTTCAGTTCTTGCAGTGCAAAGCAAGAAATGGGAGAAATTTGAGGAGCAAGAAACTGGGAGAAAGTGCAAGAAATATGCGCCATCCAGCCACGCGCCTTGTGAAGTATAGCGCCGGGCGTAGATTCTTGCGCCCTGCATTTCTTGCAGGTCAAAATCCCTGCATTAAACCACTTTCTTCCCATTATTTCTTGCAAGCGGTTGCTTTTTGCACCCGAAACACTGTACATTAAGTCAAAATATAATGCTTTGGTATCATGAAAACGACGAGGTTCTACCCAACACAGAGGAAGTTGCAACATATTTTTTTTACTTGCAAATTTTGACCATGTTCATACATAAATGCCAACTTTTGTGGACCAGGTGCACGCGCGTCGTCGAGTTAAGAGTCTGGCAGAATATTGAAACCGAAGGGAGCAGTAAATTGTAAATCCTCTCTTGAAACGAGAATTAGACCCTCATCTCCACTTTCTCATTCTAATTGCACCATTGTGCCCTTCCGTTTTCATCCTCTTATTAAAACGCGTATAACACAATTGACTCAATTCCGTCCATACTGCCGTTTGCTTCTCAGGTGGAGAGAAAATAAGGGTCTAACAACCGTAAAAAATGACATGAGGAGGGTGACGATGACATCAACTGTATATATAATAAAAAAACCTACTCCAAGCAACTTTGCGGGGCCTTTTAAGACGGCATTATTACATAAAAGCCAGACTCTAATGAACGATTGGCATATAATTTTTAGCCCGGACTAGGGCTTATGTAATCGACCTGTCCGTCTGTCTGTCTTTCCATAACTCTCGAAGGAGTAGGCTGAATTTTACCAAATTTGATACAGACATGCATCTGGGCATCGACCGAGTTCGAAGATGGGTTAGTGTTTCTCACGGGTCGGGTTCTTGCAAATCCGAAACCCGAACCCGAACCCGATGCCACTGATCCGAAACTTGAGGGCAACCCGAACCCGAAGAACCCGAAACCCGTTTGCAACGATCCGAACCCGAACTGGCGGATCAAATCCGAAACCCGAACCCGAAAAACCCGAATATATTTTAACTTTAAGGGGTGACTGGCTTTTTAGCTAAAAATTCTTTGGAAGGTTTCAAACAAACAATACTTCTGTAAATATGACCGAGGAATTATAATTAAGCACATTTCTGCATAAGTACATAACTCTTAATTCCTTGACCATAATAATGCAATCTCAAAAAATCGACCATGAATAATGGCTTTCCGTGACATTCAGAAATTTTTAAATCAGTTGAAAACTGAAAATCATTTTCAGTTTCAAGTTTCCAATATTAAAGTAAGCTCAAGCTAAATATTTTGCAAATTTTTGATAAAAAATATATTTTATTTTAATATTCAAACCATAACACTAATTGAAGACACTTGCGAAAAGAAGTTACGACAATTAAAAATTTGAATTATTTAATGAATTACTGCAGCATAACCGTCGTAGCAAGTTTGGTTAACACTTTATTTTCTTTTTTAATGTTTTCGTGTTCGTTGTGGCAAAAAGTTCTTGTTGGTTCGGGTTTCGGGTTCTTAGTCGGAACCCGAACCCGACCCGAACTCGAAATTTTGGGATCATATTTCTCGGACCCGAACCCGAACCCGAAAGTTTCGGGTTCAAAAATTTCGTATCCGAAGCAGGACCCAAACCCGATCCGAACCCGAAACCCGAAGTAAGAACCCGAACCCGTGAGAAACACTCGATCAAAAAACATTTAGACCAATGAGTGGTACCCTGGACACGACTATCACCTCGAAAGTATCCCTTGTTAGCTAACTTTTAATTTCAAATTCTTTGATGAGAAGCCACTAATTGTAAGTATTACCGTGCCGGATTTCATGTTTTTAACGCAATTTCTAAAAATAGATATGGATAACCGCATCAGATATAAATTTTACCAATTTCATTTCATATTGTTCCATTAAGACCCATTTGCAACCTCTCTCCCAAATTTCACTTCGATATGACGATTTTGAAAAATCAGTATGGGTCACCCCATAGGGTCCATCAAGATTAAAATTTTTCCAACCTAAATTCATTTTTGTCTGTTACAATCCACTAGCAACCTTTGTTCCAAATTTCAACTACCTACTACAAATTTTAGAAATCCGTCGGGTCACCCTATCGGGTCTCCCAGGTTTAAAATTTCTGAAACTCCACTCCAATTTAAACGCTTTGAGGTCAGTCGCAATCTTCATACTAAAATTACTTAAAATTATTACTATAGATATTTCTCAAGCTACAAATATTTTACTTACACTTAAATAATTTAACCTGCTCTTTAAAGGTTCTTGGTAGTTAAGGGCAACGCATTTGGATGGAAATGACCCCCACCGGCCAATTACTTGACCGATCATGCCCATCTCCGAACTCATCCTTACTTTTGACCCGAAGATGAAGTGTGCAAAATTTCAAGTCGATAGCTTTTGTTTAAAGAGAGTTATCGTGCGCACAGACGGACGCACAGACGGACGGACAGACAGACATCTTGGTAAATCTATAAGGCCATCTTAAAAGGCCTAAACCGCACATACATACGTACGAACGTTTGATTGTATGAATTTACTGCGTGCCAGCTGTCGGTCCCTTTTTCAAAATTTGAAATCAAATGGACAATATTGTGCGCAATGTTTGGGAAAACTTATTAGCATTTCAATTCAAACTTGGGTGCAGAGCGGATCAAATTCTGGTCTGGTCCGATTTATCATGTGTTTAGACACACCTTTTCATACGTTTATAACATGTGTACTATGAATTCGAGTAGTGAATCCAAAATATATAAATTATATATAATCATGCTTAATAAATATATAGTTTGATATGGATTGATATCTATTCATCAAGATTTGTGTACATTTGTGTACAGCCCGACCGTAACGTGTAACTCGGTGTAATTTCCCTTCCTGGCTGATGACATAAGTAGATTTAAACTCATTTACTTTAAATTAGCCTGAAATTGGGAGACAAAGGGATTCCATTTTAATCACTGGCTTTATTCTAAGGACTCAAGTGGCTTCTGGCACGGACAAGTTGAGAGTGAAAATTAGAATTGATCTTAATTCTGCGGATTGCTTGTTAAAATGTCCCAACGGATGAATTAACATGACACTAAAGAGAGATATGTATTCTGACAAGGATTTGTGATCAAGAAGTTCAAAATTTAGTAAGATATTCAATTAAGCGTTGGTATTTACTTAAGAAAGAAAGCATGTCTTATGTATAAATACGTATACCAAATCCTTGTACATACCTCAACTACGGCTACCTTTATCATATCATAATGAACCCCACATTGTACCGTAATGGGCTTCTTGTCGAATAAAACATCCCTAACACGACCCATTGTTCTGCATCCCGACGTTGCTGCTAAACTCCATTTAAGCAACCCCCCATGGAATAGTCGGTTGGGGCATTTGGTAAGAACGTGCCTGACACACAGAACAGCTTCATACATACGAATTTACGTACGTACGTCCAACGAGGGTCAGGGAGAGAGGAAGACAAACACTGACCACATTTCCAGTTTCGAATTGATCCAACTGGACGGCAGGAGCAGAAATCTCCCCAATTTTCGGACATGCTGAGTTGAGAAAATGCTGGGAGTCTAAATGCAAGCATTTAGGCAGTCCCAGCATTTTTGGCTGCCTGTGGTCATTCATGATCTCGACTAAATTATTCCTACCAAGCTTTTGTATATTCTAGTGAGTGGAATGCTGACGAGGAGTCCTTGGATTGGATCCGATAGAAAATGAAGCCTTCAGGATCTCTCTCAATAATCAAATTACTAACCACGACGGGATTCTCGTCCTGCAAAACCGCAGGTACGTACGCTTGATTGGAACGCTACACATGTTTAAATAAAATGAATGGGTAGAAATTCCACCGCGTTCGTTCAGCGTGTGATATGGATGAAAGTACAATTGACGTGTGAAATGGTGCATAGATAATTAAAAGTGGTGGTAATGATTGACAGAAGAATTTGATGTTACACAAGAAGTAGGTACCCACTTGGCACTCGTTTATATTAATTAACTTGGATTTCTGGGCTCCGCCCACCTTATTCTTGTGTAAAAAAATATTTAGGTGTAGTTAATTACCTGCGACAGGTGACAATTTAGTTACAACTGCCCATCGAGATTTCCACTGAAAGTTATTATTTCAATTATTTATAAATTAATAAAAATAAATAGAACGATCCAGATTGACCAAACCAAGTTGACAGTTTTTAACACTTTTAGTACTGTTATTTAAATATAATTGAAGCGTTTTACACATATTTACTACCACTTATGCATACACTTTTAGAAGACTGGTAACAAATCATTACTTATCGGAGTACATATTTGACTCTACCGGCACTGGTAATAACGGGCATTACCATTTAGTAATGTTTGTGGCAATGAAAAATTTACCCCTCAGAAACAAACTACTACCTCTCCGGTAGGAAGTTATTACCAAGTCAATACCAGTACAGAGTATATGTACCTGACTCTACCAGATTTTTAACAGTATACTAACAAGAATTTCTTAAATTTTAAAGCCAAGCAAGCAATCAAATGATAAGTAACAAGGTGAAAAGCGAAGGACAGACTTTCGCACGAGTTGCCCATTTAAATGGTTCATGAATGAAACAAAGGATTCACTATTAGCACGATACTGCCAGCGTCTCTCGTCTCGTCAGGAGAAATGTCAATTTATCCGACATCCAATATTTGCGCTTGGTCTTAAAGAAAAAGGAACCTTTGTGCAAAGGCCACCTTCATTTCGTACCTAATACGTTTGAAGGAAGTGAAGGTATCCAGTGAGGAAAGACAGATGGAAGATTTCCTTAGAGAGTCCAACCCTTCCTTCTTTTTCTTATATTACTTCCTTCTTACTTTACTTAGCTCGTACCTAGTTTGTCAGTTTGTCCCACCCAAGTTAAGATTGGATGATGATATCAATGTGTGCGTAATATGCATGCAGTTTTGCTTTGCTCGTTTACAAAAGATATTTGCTTTTCCACTCTTTCTTCTTCTTCTTCTTTTGCTTGCGGAGGAGATCACACAAGTTTCGCTAGAAGATAAAATTGCTGCTGGACTATGGTGGGAAAGAAAGTTAGTTGTAAATATTTACATAAAAGGTGCTCCATGTAAAAAGTTGAGAGGTTAGAGTAGATATCTACAAAAATTCCTCTTTTTACCAAAATCACTTCGCTCTTGGAAATATGTTGACGCATTCCTACTCCTAAACATGCACAGGGTTCCAGGTTTGTTTAGTACAGTTCTTGCACTGCAAAACAAGAAATGCACGAAATGTAAGGTGCAAGAAACTGGGAGAAAGTGCAAGAAATATGCGCCATCCAGCCACGCGCCGTATGAAGTATAGCGGCAGGGCGTAGTTTTTGCATTTCTTGCTGGTCAAAATACCCACAAGAAACCACTTTCTCCCCGTTATTTCTTGCACCCGAAACACTACATACACATGCCTGTACATATAAAATGTTGATACATATCTTGCTTGGTTTACATCTAACTCGACACTTTGCACTTCTTTTCAGAGTGAAAGTGCGTAAATGTACGCTAACTTGCGGGGGGTATGCATTGCTGCAGTTCGTGGTGCTGCCCAGATTTTGGAAATTTGGAATGCATGAGGAATACAAGATCGATACTTTCCCGTTTTCTCAGCTTCCGCGATTATAAAATATATTCCGTTTCTTCGAGATCGCTACTCGCCAGCGAGGTTCGAATGAAATGAAACAATTTCCTTCTTCGTGGGTGGTCTTCCTCGGAATTTTATGTCATGCTTCATACGCTTTACGTTTCAATTTTAAAGGAAATTCCATGTACGAGTGACAGTTTTCTGTAGGAAAAACGACTTTATTTGAAAGAACCTCAATATCGAATAGGAAAATAGGAAACTGCTCTTGTACGTAACCCTTTTGCTTATGTATTAATGCCGAAAGGAAACGAAATATACAGTATTCATCAAAGAGTTGGCTGACCAAGACCCTGCTGAGTCCATACATATGCAATAATCTACCCTGCCTGCATATTATTAAAGTAAAGTAACTTGGTGCGAACTTTGTAATGAAACTTTGTAACTACATTTGTAACTAGCCACAAATTATGAAATGTTTCAAACAACTATTTTGTGAAAGTGGGAGATTACGAGACTTGCTTTCTCTCTTGTTCTTGTCGTACGAAGTGCAATAGTTGGAATTATTAGCAGAGGGCGGATATGTATTTACTTTCAAGGGTTTCATTTGATGACGACTGACGGTCAAAGTTTGCGGGTGTGTTCCCTAACACTCGTAAATATCACAAAAATTTCAAAATATTGTCAGACATTTGTAAATATTTTCGCTATTATTGGAAAAATACTTTTAGAGTTTTTTTCAAAAATACATATATTTTGTAAAACATATTTTATTTCAACGATACGAAATTTGTTTGCTCAAAGAAATTGGATCGAAAAAAATCAGAGCATTATATTCAAAAATACAAATTTTGTGATAAATTTTTTATCTTTATGGTTTTTTCGTTCATATTTCGTAAAAATTTTCAAGTTTTTTTCTAAATATAAATTTCAGCGATTTTTCTAAAATACATATCCGCCCCCTATTTATTAGACAAGCTGAACGAGCAAAATCAAAATATATTAAGCAGAGTCAGGAGAAAGTCAAAGTTCTGGTTTGGTCTCTTCTAACAAGTAAGTGGTTTGCTTTCTGAAAGGAAAAGTTGGTTGGAGGAAGCCAAAGCAAAGGGCACGCACGGAAAGAATGCACCGCACAGCGTGGTGGTTCGTTCCAGGAAATAAACAAGTGTAATATCAAAAAGTCCGACAGATATTGTAGGACGTGATATCATATTATGAAATAATGCTTTCTCCAACTTTCCAAAAACTTGAAGAAAGTTGAAGCAGAGAACAAAGCAACAAAGAAAAGTTCAACTTGGAGAATGGTTCTCTTTCTCTTGTTGATGAATTGAACTGAAACAGAAGGAATGGAAAATATTATTTGGATCTCGTAGATGCACAACCTTCATTTTGACGAAGAATAAAAGAATTGCATATCTCACTGTCAAATAATTGCAGTTTAGATACGGCAAACACAAGGTTAACTATTAAATTGTTGTATTTTTTTAGTAGCACCCAATTAATTACTGTCAACTTGGTTTGAAACGCCAAAAATGGTGTAATATCCAAATAAAAAATAAAACTGACCTTTCTTCCATCCCGGAACTTGCAATGTCCCTCGATAAGAGAATTCGCGTCAACCATCGTAGGTTAGGTTTTACACCAAAAATTAACACAAATTGGTATTCGAGACAGACATGTCCAATTCCAGTTAAAATTTATTCTAACTCTTCACTTAAAACCATTTAACCAAAGAAATTTATAACTACTTACTTCTGTTCATTTTGGCAATAATTTTACTCTGTTTGTGCACCCATTGTTGGCAATTATTTCAAAAAAAGAAGACGTACAAACAATTCTCACAACTACCTTCGTTCACTGATTACCAGAATAATAATCAAGCTCTGCCTGCCTGCCCAGAGCAAATCTAGTCATAGTCCTCGCACAGTGTAATTGATGAGGGGCAGGTATTTTTTTGCGTGTCTTCTATATTTTGCACATAGGCTCTGATTCTGATTGTTTGTTGTTGTTGCACGGCTGCACGAGATGAAGATCTAGTTTGATCACTGAAACCAGACCAGACTTCTTCGTATGGTTTATTATTTTACCTCATCTGCACTACTTCTTTTCACACCGGTTGCCCAGCAGGTGAGCAACTCGTCAAACTCTGCTCAGGTAGGTGTCCACGTAAAACAGTGAACACACCTTCACCCGACAAAAAGGCAGAATTAATTTAATACGAGTTTTATCTCCTAGTTATCATCCGGATCTGCATTCAACACAAGCGGACGAGATGGAGGATTAACCAACCGACCACCACGGACAGACAAGACACATAACAATAAATAGTTGTTGTAAGACAACGAACTTTTATAAGCATGTATTTAAACTTGGGTCACATGCATATCCTCATGTCATCCTCACCAATAGAACAAGATGTCAATAATTTAATTGCATACGGACGAAAATGTGGCAAGAATTTTTTTGTGGCGTTGTAGCAGTCAGTGCAGCTGTCAATTGATTAAATGACAGACGACTTTATACAGAAAAGAAGTGCAGACTCATTTAAGACTGCGAATGGTAGTACATAAGCTACACGAACTGCATTTATTGCAAATCTGCAGTAATCTCTTGTGATCATCTTTTATAACCAAGTTGAAGGTCACTCTGCCTGCATGATGGGTTTTCTTGGTGGTTTTCTGCTCTTGGAAATTTCTGACGTGCAAACCAAAGTACAATTTAGCACTGAAACCTTGAGATTATAGAAGCGAACTCAATTTCTTGTCGCAGTACATAAATCTTCGCACAGAATTCAGAGTAATAATCAGTTTTTGCTGATGTCTTTGTTACTTTTAAACCTGGTCAGCTTCTCTCCAGCCCACTTTGTTTGTTTCTATACTAAATTATGTATCTCGAACTGATTTAAATTCTTTTAGCGTTTTTATATATGTTTATTCGTAATTACACATCGCACAAGAGAAGAACTGAGCGTGGCACCCGTGGCTAATTCGATGAAATTATTTCTCAACGAGATAAATAATAAGTTTGAGAAATGATTGGTCTCTGGATATTGGATGGATTGAGTTTTTGTTGTATACTCGTCGTGAACACTTGGACGATTCGTAATTTAAATTCTAATGAGCAATGGACAAGTTTCTCAACCAGCTTTTAACGTCACGTCAGCTTTTTGCTTTAAAAAACCCAACTGTTTTATTACTTTAAGTGCTTGTAAATTGAAGAGTTAGTAAATGACAATTATCAAGGGTGATAAATCACTGGATGAAATTAACCACAATTGGATTCCTCTCCTCGTTCCGGCAGTTTTCTTCTGGCGAATGTGTGTAAACATGTGTTTAAATCTGCATAAGTTGAAACGGTTGTCATTTTCATTATACATACACGCGGATTGAGCTGAGCGTTGTCTGCAGAAATTCGTGATGGATCTCAACAAAGTACACATGAATGAATGCATAATTAATGTCGTAAAGGTGTCACCCAAGCCGAGTGCTTTAAATTCCCGATGAGATGAAGCAGGTAGACATTATTACTCAAAGTTTTTAGCGGAATGAGAAACTTTGCAAACTTGTTTGAATATTTATCTACCTGGGTTTCTTCACGGGTCGAATTAATGTATGCTAATGTCCACGCCACGTAATGAAGGTGAGATAAAAATGGTGGAATAACCAGCTCTTAAGAGGTATTCATACCAGTTCATAACTATAAATGTGATGAAAAAATTTCAGAAACCCGAAATCTTTCGGTATAAAAGAGATATAAATGTGTGCAAGGGAAGAGCTTAACTTCACAATATGTATGTAAATACTATGCAACAATGCAGACTGCATGTAATGAACGCATAAATAAGATTCTAATATATTTTAGTGCCAATTTCTTCTCCATCGTACGTACTTCTTGGTTCATCCTCCTCTCAAATGGAAAAATTGCAAGGGTTGAGTGTAAATTAGAAACAATTGTATTTTTAATTTGATTTTCGCAGAGAGAAATAATGAATTTGAAATTTAATTCCTCGCAATTTCTTTGCCACCCATGATCGACTATGTATGTAGATTTGTAGATGAGTCTTGTTGATCACCTAATAAATTACAGATACATGAGTTTTAATAATCTCATTGTTATCCAGCTATGTAGGATAAGTACTTATTCTATGAAATATTAACGGAAGTTGTGCTGTGCTATGCTGTTCTACATACATATTCCATGAACAAGTACATAAAAGTGCTTCGACGTATTACATGTTGAACACGATCAGCCTTGCTGAGACAATTGCATGTAAAAAGCAAATGAACTGTTATGTATTATTACATGTTATGGATTGCATGTTGCTTGCCGCCCATAAATTCCATTATGCAGGTATTAATACGAGTCCCCAGAGTTATGGCTTCATTGCCAATTCTCATAAAAGTCGGCCGTAATAAAATATCTATGTACGAGTATGTAACTAAATACCACCTTCAAGGGTATAAAGAAGGCATAAATTCTCTCCTATTTACATTCAACAATTTTTATCTGAATTCTTTTTTACTGGTTCGGGTACCTGATTCTTTTTCTTCTACTTTAATAATTAAATGGGTCGTATAATAACATCGTATGTTCATGTATTTAATGACTCATTCCGCGAATATTTATTTATATACGATAGAATTACTTGGCTCAAAGTGAATGAAATTCGATAAATAAGATACAATTCCCAGGGATTTAAAGGTTACTTGAAACCCATAATATTTGTAGGTAATCGGATTTGGGAAGTAATGTAATAAAATGAGTTGCACCTGTTTTTATTATGGATCTGATCCATATCGTGAGGCTTTCAGGGGTTTAAAATACTCTAGTTTTGTTTTATGAGACATGTGATTTTATCAACCCCAGCCAGTTCGGCAGACAACGCTCAAACGATATCCGTATCACTGATAATAATTGACATAAATGAGCAACCTACCAATTATTGTTTTTATTGCGTAACCCACAATTTAATCCAACACCGAAGAAAACCGAAACAAATCCCTTGATTAAACTTTCCATTCGTCCGAATTATGTAATATCCACACACACACACGACATAAACACTAAAATAATATGTACTTCTCCCTAAGTAGTCAGACCGACCTTGCACTTAACACTGAACTGAACAAGATCCGGCAGAATAGAATCCCACCATCCGAGGAAATGCAGTTTTGGCAGAATGCGCAAGATTTCCTCAAATTTGGAGAGAAAAGTCTCCGAAAACGGGGAATTTCTCCCGAAAGTGCGTTACTTTATTCGTCTCGTATTAACGCAACGTTACGTAAGGAAACTTCATTCCCCTCCGCACAACTCGACGGACTGACAACAACTAAAAGCAAACTGACTGGATCCAGTAAAGTGAAGTAAAGTAGAGACAAGTCCTCTCTGGTCTCTGGTCTGGGGGAATGAATCGTTGGAGAGGGTTAGGGTTGCTTTAATACGCGATATTATGTATGTGTGTACTGTGTATGAAAAGGGATCAGGAGAATCAACAACATCTGCATCTGTCCTTTTTCTTTCAGAAGAGAGCTCACTTTTACATGCATCCATCCATTCAACGACGAACGAACTAACCAGGATGAATTGTTGATATGAAATGAAACATAAATGGCTTATGCATAGTTCATATCTTGGTTTTTTGGTGGATTCATCAGGAGAGATGGTCGTGTTATGTGATGCATTTATGTACAAGGATTTTTTTATTAAGAGGAGCAATTGATGCTAAAATGCTCAATATGATGCTAAAATTGGATCTGAATCTGATTACTTATTATGCATAATGTACAGGTTTGATTTAGCATATGCATTTCTTACCAGTAGATAATCAATGCAGTAAAATATGTATTTATAACAACCGCAGAAATATCTGCATCTTGTGTTTGAATGGAATTAATTTGACCAGATCTGTTTACACGAGTTAATCTGTATTTTAATTATGAACATAAATATTTCAGGCTGGTATGCATGTGTGAAGGGCGCTGTAAAGTAAATTAATACATTTTACGTATGTACATATAGCATATGCGTATTATAATTGCATAATTTACTGGTTTTGTACTTTTGTGCAAAAACCTCTAAAACACAAAATAGGCATATGTATCATTGCAATCTGCCAGTATTTCAATTTTCACATCAAACAAAGAATTCATGCGAATAGCTTAAGGTAGAATATCCCGAAAGCCAACTGTTCGAAAATTCTTTACATCCTCAAACATCACAGAACTTCCTTTGAAATTCAACAAAGCAAGCAAAAATTTCATTTTCTATTGAATTGCCCATTGCGATACGTTACAAACACAAAGGCAAAAGACTACCTTGAATTTTGAAGTTTCATCAAGTTTATGCAAAAACTCGCATTTTTCAGCCACTCCACTACTGCTAATACTTTTGGTTCAAGTCTTTGTACCTACAGCTCCAGCTGGCTCTTTCATTTATCCTTGTCAGGAATAAGTGGTATGATGTACGTAAAATATTAAAATGCAAATATATTGTTGCTCGTAAAATTCCATTTTTTGTGTGCTAATATTGCGCAATATGTAGCAAATCTATCAGGAGCAAATCTATAAGGATATTTTCCTTCTATTGCATATAAGGAAAAAACTCTGCATTTAAATATCTACGGGTTTATGTCTTGCCTTGCATATCCTACAGTGCAATAAATATGTACTCATGACATTATTTATGTAATGTCACAAATAATCTAAAACTGTCATATCTCATCAAATTCATCCGGCCACATGATGATAACACTCATCCAGCCACGAATGCTGCAAACCCAGGCAGAAAATAGTGCAGCATATGACATGAAATCATCGTTATTTTGACTCCAAGAAGATATGTAGAGACCCTAATAAATAATATCTACGAACTGCCTCGTGAATACATACATAGATTTATTATTCTACATACTTACTTCTACATACATATGTACACACACATATGACAACTCGCTCGCTCTTACACAGCTTTCACTGTGCTTCATTTCTTACAGGTTTGCTACATTTCTTGCACTGCAAAGCAAGCAACGCAAGAAATGCTAGGTGAAAGAAACTGGGAGAAAGTGCAAGAAATATGCGCCATCCAGCCACGCGCCGTATGAAGTAGAGCGGCGGGGCGCAGTTTCTTGCGCCTTGCATTTCTTGCAGGTCAAAATACTCTCAAGAAACCACTTTCTTCCCGTTATTCTTTGCAAGTGGTTATCTACTAGCACCCGAAACACTGGGCTTTCATACCTACATTTTAAAAACAACCAACCCGGATTGATTTCCTAGCACATCTTTCAAAGTTGAAATACTGAAATTGAATCCGATCCGAGAGTGAGTGTCGGATTTAAGCGAAACCATTCTAATAGCTGAGCCAGGTGTGTGTGCGTACGTACGTATCTACGCCTGTATACACAAGTGGCTTGGCTGGAGAGAAATTCCACAGAGAAAGTCATGCAGTGTTCATTCTACCGTTTTACGCGTTCCTCCATCCCTTTCACTCACGCACCACGCTTTGCCCTCCACTTACTTCCACTTCCACCCACAGGCAGGCAGGCAGGCAAAAGGAATAAATATGTTGGATGAGTCGAGATGGAATGGAATTGTAACTTTAACTGCTGGCTGGAACGGAATGGAACTTTTATGGCTGGAATTCATCAGACCAGTGAGTTACGTTTCGTGGTGTGGCGTTGGTTTGACTACTGGGGCACCTTTTCGAATCCATCTATCTCTTCTTCCCGTCGGGTTTGGCTGGAGTGGAGTGGAGAGATATGATTATAACCAAACCAAAACCTTCCTTTCTATCCTTATTCTTCTTGTTTAATACAGTTCAACAGCAGAGTAATGATAAGTACGGAGGTACCATTAAGTAAGGATGAGGATGAGGATGCACGCGGACCACTATTGCAGTGCAGCAAAAGAGGAGCAGGAGGAAGAAGAATGGAAGTGCAAGAGCCAAGAGTTCACTTTCACTTCCGATTTCCGATCCAACGTAATTCTACCAGAGAGTAAGTTGTGACTAGGATTCTTTAGATCCTGCCAGAGTGTATGTATGGGGGGCTGTAGGGATGGTAATCCGTATCCTAAATTAACCGATCCGTAGGATAGGATCGGATAAATACAGGATCGGATCGGATTTGCTCGCTTTAGGATCGGATCGGCTCCCGGTTCTACTCGAAATCCGATGCGATCCGATCCTAGGATCGTAGGATATCAGCGGATGATCCAAGATTCACTTGATATGTGTGAGACACCTTGTGTCTAACTATGGAAAAACTTTACCAGCTGCTTTTCTTTATTTATTGGAACGGTTTTTGGTGAGTTCATCACATGGCGTACATTATCCTAATGAGCCGAATTATTTTATTTTTTTTAAATAATAACATAATTCGGCTCATTCGGATAATGTACGCCATGTGATGACGTCATGTTTCACCAAATGTGAAACGAGTTTACATCGGATGATCCGAGGATCCTGTGCGATCCTAGGATGTCATCGGTTCGGATCGGATCGGATTGTGTGATCCTCGGATCCTCTATCCCATCCGTGTGAAAATCCGATCCTATCCGAGTTTTTACGATCCTAGGATAGGATCGGATTACCATCACTAGGGGGCTGGATGAAGTTTCTAGTGGGAATATCATGGAAGTTGTAAGCTAGCTAGTCGTATTATTTTTGGAGTGACGAATTACAAGGAAAATACCTCATCACTCGATAGAATAAAGAGTTCGTCAAGTGGATGAACTTTCCTATCATCAATATGACGAGTCGAAAATTTACAATCCCAACTCCAATCATTTCATAACTCTGACTGTTTGTCTGTATTTCGAAATAGTATTAAAGCAAAACTTTTATAACTAACATTTATCACTTGTGATGATGACATATTGGCACCATTTCCAATTACAAACTTTTTACCTTTCACCATATTTTACTTTTTATGTATTTTGAGAATGGCACAACTTGGCAATCTCAAGAGTTCAAGACTCAAGAAAGAACAAAGTCAAACCCATCATATCATATTTCAGAGTTGACAAAATTTATCTTTAATTGCACATACATATTTATGTACCAAGCATGACCATCGTTATACATAAATATGTTGTGATGTTGTCTTTGTCCGTTAATTATTTCAGCTAGATATTTCAATCAGTCACACACACGCAATCTCAACAAGATTAAAGTAGATTAAACGCACATACATAACTATAGAATGCTTACGCGTTAGGTCTCATTGATTTTTGAATCCGTTCAAAATCCCCAAACTTCTTCAATCTCCAAGAATAAGGAACCCTCTTTTCCCTTTCCTTTCATTCACCAAAGCCAAACAAGTCAAGCCAAACTAGGAGTCAAAATACATACCTCACAAATGCTAAATCCACACCAACTTACTTATCAATCGTTCGCCAGACAGAGGATCGTCAATAATAATAGGAACGTTAACGTTGGTTGGTAAGTACTTCTGGATGGCGTGGAAGGAATTGAATATATTTCATACAGAACCATTTCCATCATCATTTTGCTATTCCTGGGTCGAACCCCACCCCACAACGCCCTTCCTCCATTCTCTCTCTCTTCTTTCATGGAAAATCCCATCTCATCATCAAGATGACGATGTCAAGTTGATTCCTTCACCCAAATCAAGGAAGTGCTCTCATTGTTATTTTAAGTGTGGAAGGGATAAAATAACAACTTCCACCACCACTGCTTCTTCAAACTTTGAAAATTGTTATCCTCACCCACCCACCACCCACAATGAATGAATGACTCTGCACAAACCATTGGCGGCGGAAAAACAGGGGGACATTGTCCGCCCAGAAATTTATCGAAATCGTGCCTTGTCCATCCTCCTCCTCCAATCCCATAATGCTAATGTCCCCATATGTCCCCTTCCCCAACTTCCGCGGCTACTGGCACTAACGCAGACGAAACTGAGAAGATAATCCATTACCCATTATGTCCATTATCAAAGTAGATTGTTACTTGGGTGGGAATTTCGTAGTAATAATATCGCATCGTTCACCACCACAAATGCAGTTCGGTCGGAGAGATAATAATGGTAACAATAATAGTTGGCCCGACCAACCAACTATTTGTCAACTGAGGATAATAATGTGGGTGGTAAGTACACAGTGGTGAGAAAATCCACCAAATGACACCTCCACGTGTCCACTAAAAAAACGTGTTTACCATATTCATGAAGTTTTCAATTTAAATCCATCCTGACCATCATTCATATCATTCATGCATTATTTTGTTGGATTATGTGATAAAATCTCGTGTGGTGGATTTCCTTGCCCTGATCTCTATCAAGATTAGGAGACAAGTTATGCGGTAAAACCGCGGAAAAGAACTATTTTTTAACACTAAGTACGTTATATCCCACGATTATGCCCATTAAAAGTCGAATTTTG